CAATTTAATGTAATCAAAATTATCCATTTTGTATTTCATAATGTTCTTTATCTCTTGTTTGATCATAAATTTTTCCCTTCTCCATAAATCTGAAAGGTAAACTATTCCTTGCTGTCCTGGTTTGCTTATAGTATTAGTCTTCATATCTAAAATCCTGTACCCATTTTGACTTTATTTTGGTACAGGGTATAAGATGTTGGGTCTACGCCCAGTTCCCACCATACTATTTTCCAGTTTTCCAGCAGTTTTTGTTAAATAGTGATTTCTTATCCCGAAAGCTGGAATCTTTGGATTTATCAAGTAGTAAATTAGTATAGTATAGACTGTTGTGTCTTGCATACCTAACCTATTCCACTGATCCACCACTCTATTTCTTAGCCCATACCAAGTAGTTTTGATGATTGCTGCTTTGTAATACAATTTAAAATCTGATAGAGCTAGGCCACCTTCCCTTGCATTTCTTTTCATTAGATACGATGGACCTTTTGTTGGTTTTGTTTATGATGGACCTTGATATTCTGGACCTTCTGTTCTTCCAGATGAATTTTATTATTGTTATTTCTATACAAAATAATTTTTGGCAATTTGATTGAAATGGCACTGATTAAGTAAATTAATTTAGGTATAATTGTCATTTTTATTATATTAGCTTGGCCCACCCATGAGCAAATGATATTTTTCCAATTATTTAGATCTGACTTTATTTGTGTGAAAAGTGTTTTGTAATTGTATTCATATAATTCCTGGTTTTGTTTTGGCAGGTAGACTCCCAAATATTTTATAATGTCTGCAGTAACTTTAAGTGGAATTTCTCTCTCCTGCTGTTGGGCTTTGTTAGTACTTCGTAGAAATGCCAATGATTTGTGTGGGTTTATTCTATAGCCTGCAACTTTGCTAAATTTGTTTATTATTTCAAGTAATTTTTCACTTGATTCTGTAAGTATACCATCATATCATCTGCAAAGAGTGATAACTTTGTTTCTTCTTTGCCTATTCTAATTCCTTCAATTTCTTTTTCTTCTGTAATTGCTAATGCTAACATTTCTAGTGCAATGTTGAATAACTTAGCATGCAATTATTAAGCACCTGTTCTAGGCACTGAGGTTATGATGAACAGAAGTGCAACAATCCTTACTCTCCAGAGCCTACTTTCTACTGGATATGCCTGGTGTGGCAGAAGCTGGCAGCCTGGGATGACTCTGGTTACCATCTCCAATGGCACGAAACATAGACATGGAAAGAAAAGCATATTTTTGGTAGCTAGGAAATTCAAACATATAGAACATTAAAGAAAAAAACAATTTAAAAAGAATTTGCTTTTTTTTCTTATAAAAGTCTCAAGTTGCAACTTAACACTCATG